TGGTGTTTGTGGAAATTTGAGTGTTTATTGTAACCCGTTTTGTCTCATGTGTGCCCATACACACGTCTTCGTGGATTCTAGGAATTGATGTGGAAGACATTGGTTTTCTAAACACAAAGATTGGAGCAAGGACTGTTCGTGGTCAAAGAACTCAAGTTATCATCCGAGTCGGCTTCCAGGTATTTTTCCTGATTGAGTTCTTGATCTTTATAAGTTAATGAGATTAATTTATTCGTGCATAAATTAATATAATCTATAGAATATCTCAAAAGTTTTATAAAAATTTTTATTATACACGATCCGCCTCTTCCCCGCACCACCGCGCTTCCGCATCCGGATTCGATCCGGAGACCAACAGTATATACCTACTCTTGAAGTCCTGCTAACTAATAGCCATAATCCACAAAACTATTTAACATATAGTTTTAGAATCATATTTAACAAAACTATTTGTAACATAAAACTGATTGCGGAAATATTTACGAGTGGTATCCATTTCCCGATCTCCACATCGTTCGTCCACTCGCCGTCAGTCCATAAGGCATTATATGCCGGTTGCTTACCTACAGTATAAATATTCTATGATGAGCTTTCGCTAGTAAGTAGGAACTCTCTCTCGCAAAATAACTGTAAGTTCACATGAATAAATATGCATGAGCCAATTATGCTTAATTATGATCATGTCTTATTAAATTCTTATTATCTGATCTTATCTTTCTTACTTACTTACTTATGGCCCGAGTGATCGTACCACTTGTGCGCAATCATCGGGATGTGAGGGTTTGCAAGGTCCCCAACGACACCGTGATTATAACTGAACTGAATGCCTCCCTCTCAGAGGACATTATTATTATTTTTTTTCTTTTCCCTTGCGGAGCTTGAGTTACCTCCCTCTCAGAGGCTGGGACGACACTCAACTGAGATTATTCTTATAAGTTTCTCTTGACTTATTAAGGTGTATGCAGTATGACATGGTATCGCATACAATATATAAATCATAAACATGCATATATAACATGTGTAACTTTTTTTTTCTTTAAAATCTATTCATACTGTAGCCGAGATTCCTACTTACCTGATTTACAAGGCTGGAATTCACTTTTCGTCAAATAGCCTAGTCTCTTACTTGCTTACTTCTGAAAATGAACACCCATTGAGTGTGTGAGATTAATTGTCATTTGCTATTCTATTTTAGCAACTCATGAAGGAAAATCTAACCCTTTCCTTAAGGCGTGCGTTTCTCTCCGTTACTAAAGGATAATAAGGATCAATTTATTAAATCCTCAAAATCTTATTTTTTTTAACTGCCCTTAACATCTACTTGCCTAGATTGAAAATCAATTATCCAATCTAGTAATTTATTCTCCATAATTTCCCTAATTAACATTGTTATGATATTAATGCCCAATTTGTCCTAGAAACTTATACCCGGCATTCCAACTCTTAGGCCGCTGAAATTAATACTCTAACAGAGTCTCTTAAATTAATGCGGGTGTTGGACCCACATCAATTCTTTAAAATTCTAAGGACCTATCTTATTGGGCTCGTAGGTGCCCGTTGGGATGATTTGCTCGATAAACTATTAAGTTCTTTAAAAGAAAGTATTTTTCTTGAAAACTTTCTTTACGAATACTTCCATTAAAACGAGGTTTAATACCATAGTATTTTACTAAAATCACATCTCGAGTTCTTTGATAAATTCTTGTTAAAACCAACACTGTTTTAGTTTTGTTTCGTTAAAAATTGGGCAGTTTCTGAAATATGCATTTTACTGCATCTTAGAGTCGGATTTCAAAATTTGGTTCTTCGCAACAATTCTTCGTCTCGTCGCGATCTAAAATTATCGTTTTTGGTGAAAGTTAAAATTCAGCCTCTAAAGGCCTCGTTTGGCTGAAAACAGTGGCTGCTGTGTTTTTTTTTCTTTTGCTGTAAGAATGCTGTAGCATTCTTTTTTTTTTCGAAACTGTGTTTGGACAGCCTGTCAGTTTTTGTAAAATAGCTTCAAACTTGCTTTTAGAGTTAAAGTTGGGTTTTGTCATAGTCACAGAAAAATGTTCAAAACATCGAGAACCATAAGTTCAAGTTTTGAAATACTGAAAAATCTCACTCTAGAGTCCTCGTTTTCGCGTTCAAAGTAAACGGAAAATTTTTCCACCAACCCAAAATAAGCAAACTTCAACCAAGCATAATCATACCACATGATGCTAATCAAACTAACCTCAAAACTCACAAAACCAACATAAAACTCACACAACCTTATTACAACTCATCTCCTCAAGAACCACAAATTACATCCATAAATTCAAGCATAAAGTTGGATAGAAAATAATGGAGAAGAGTTTAAGAACTTACCCTTGAAGGACTCTCTCTCTTGAAAACCTTTGTACTCCTCTAAGATTTGTTAATGGCTTGGAACTAGAAGAGTATAAGGAAATTTGAGAAGAATATTTCTACATTTCAAACTCTACTAAAACATGAGAAAGAGAGGATTTAGAATTTATACCCTTGAAGAAATGCT